ACTCGTTCCACAGAGGACTGTAGATTAACGCAAGGACCAGTTGGGAAGCACGGAAAAGCTCGGAGAGTCTTCAAGCAGTCCGGGAGGTTAGCACCGAATCTGCCAAAGCCTCCACCCCGTAGTCTGCAAACCAAAACCGGATGGAGCGTACAGCGTACGATTGCTCATGATTGGCCATCGCCTCTGGCCCGCGAACTCCCTGAACCCGGCACACGCAAAAAAGTTGTGTTCCTTGAGGACAATCTTCTCGGCCGCCGAGGGCTTCTTGACACCCTTCAGCGCATCGGCCTCTAAGCTCGGAAGACGAGCGTGCCAAGCTCACGCGCGCGCGCGCGCGCGCGTGCGCCAAGAGTGCTGCAAGATGGCACAGCGGGGCAGCTCTTCGAAGCACTACTTGTACAGAAGAATCGAGCTGAAGAATCTGGCCTGCGTGCTTTCTTTGGGGGATTCATGAAGCCAAGAGGCCAAGAGCCCAAGACGGCCCTCGAAACTAAGGGACGAGCCTTCAGAGCCATCTGTGCGTCCAAGCCAAGGTTGGACTTTCCCTGGAAGGCCCCGAGATCCAATCCATTGCAGAACCTCCTTGGCCGGGGGCGCTTTGCGGATCTTTGCAGCGGGATTCCGGCTGGTTTGCCTGCGGGCTCGCATCACCAGCAACAGCTGCATGCTGGTGGAGGATTTTGCGGGCGGCGGTGGCATTAGCGCGCGAACATTTTACTGGGGTGGCCTGTTCGAGAGGTCGTCTTCTTTCTGATGGGGAGCTGCCTTACACAAATGCTGGGGTCCGGCACTTATAGGCGTTCGTGCTTCAAGCGGGGATAGAACGCAGGCTTCCTGGATTTCCGTGATGGAGGCAAGGGTCGTTGCTTTCGGCATGGCCATGAAGCCCACGACACCGAGGCCCAACGCCAGAGCCAAGGCAGCCTGCAGTCAGGGCAGGCGTCTGCTGGTGTCTGCTAAAATTCTTCGTACGTCGACTGCTCTGGCCTTCTTCACCCAACCACGGGACTGCGTGGAAGAGTCCTTCACCTCTTCCTCAGACTCCACATGGACGGCCTGCCGTTGCAAGGCTGCGGAGTCCACACAGGGAACATTCCAGTTGAGTTC